TGGCCAGCCAGGAGGTATAACCTCCCCAGCCAGTTCTGGGTCTGCCCCAGGCCTCCTCCTGGTAGGACTAGTATCAGTGCTCAAAAGACCTCGCCCACGAGTGTCCAACTACGTCATAGTCAGATGCTTGAACCACCTCAACTGGCGCAGTAGCTATACTGCGAGTCCCTCTCAAATGACCATGACCCTGTCTCATGGAGACTCAGGCATCCTTCAAAGGAAACTCATTTTCGCCACTTTCATCTGTGACTTCATTCTTTCGGAAATCTTCAGAGCTCGTGAATGTAGGTAAGGGTAGAAACATAGATTGACTAAATCAATAGCTTTACATTTACACTCACCTTTTCCTCCCCACAAGAGATTAATACTGCCCCAGTCCATCTAACATCTCATACGGAAGAGGATTCTCAGAAAAAAGTCAGAATTCTGGCTTTAATCTCAGAATTCTGACTTTTTCCTCAGAATAATTTTTTCTCAGAATTCTGAGATTAAAGTCTTAGAATTCTGACTTTCTTCTCAGAATTCTGGAAAAGAAGAAAAAAAAAAGACATGCCCACTTGTTTTTTCCAGTGGCCCTAATCCTCTTCCGTACATCTCATGCCCCACTCTGATGATGTTTATGATGATTTGGATCATTAAACAGTCTCTTTAAGATCAGGTCAAAAGCATTTCAATACCCTCATTTTGTTTTTTGTTTGTTTGAGGCACAAACTGATGGCTGGACATTCTACTTCAGGATTTCTAGTCAAGAATTCATGGCACATCAGTTACAGTAAGTTGTACAGGTCCAGAAGTAGCATAGTAGCTTCAGACCATCACACTACCACCACAATGTTTGACTGCTGGTATATGAGCTTTTTATGAAATGCTGTTTATGAAATTTTAAATTCTGTCTCGTCAGTCCACAGAATATTTGGGGATCAGCAGTGGTTTTGTTCTTGGAACTCTTCCATTGATGCCATTTCTGCCCAGTCTTTCCTATTGTTCAATTGTGAACTTTGACCTTAACTGGCTGGCCATTCCTGAGAAGGTTCATCAATGATCCCTGTTTTCTCCACATATGGGTAATGGCTCTCACTGTGGTTGACTGGAGTTCCAAAACCTTGGAAATGGGTTTTAAACCCTCTCCAGACTTCTTCTTCATCCTGGCGTTTTTCCCGCTGGTGCAGGGTCCACGCTTCGGCAAAGGTTTCTCCATTTGGTTCTGTCCAAGGCGTCCTCAGGTAATGTGTTGACGGTCTTAATGTCCTCCTTAATTTTGTCCATCCACTGTTTCTTCGGTCTGCCTCGAGGCCGGCATCCTTCTGGGTCGATCGTCATAGCCATTTTTGCTACAGAGTTCTCATCGCTTCGAATCATGTGTCTATACCACCTCAGGCGGGACTCAAGCATCTTTTCCTTAATTGGGGCTACGCCTAGTCGCTTCCGTATGTCTTTGTTCGTAACACGGTCCCGTCTTGTAATTCCTAGGCTCCATCGGACCATGCGCATCTCCGTGGTGTTTAGGGCCTGTTCATGTGTGGTCAATGCTGGCCAACATGCGCAGCCATACAGGGTTACTGGGCGGACCACCGTTTTGTAGATTTTTTCCTTGAGTCGATCTGGCACTCTTCTGTCGCAAAGGATACCAGTGACCTGTCGCCATTTTAACCAGGCTGCATTTATTTGTGCTTGGACATCGGAGGTGATATTTCCATGGTAGCTGATGACTGAGCCCAAGTAGCGGAACTCTTCTGTCTTCTTCAACTCTTCGTTGTCAATTATGATGGTGCCAACAGTTTGGGGGCCTCCTTCCAGGTATTCGATCTTTTTCGTGTTGAGCCGCATACCATATTCATTGAGCCGGGTCTTCCACAGTTGAGTCGTCGTTTGGGTCTCTTCTCTGTCTTTGCTGGTGAGGATTACGTCATCGGCAAAGAGGAGAGACCATGGATGAGGTAACTGGAGGTTGGCCGTGATGGTGTTCATACATAGAATGAAGAGGAGGGGTGACAGAGCTGATCCTTGGTGGACACCAACACTAACTGGGAAGGGAGGTGATAGTCCAGCAGCGCATCGGGCTGAACTGGTGACGTTGTCGTAGAGGAGCTGTATCCATTTGACATATGCCTCAGGGACACCATGCGATCTTAGGGAGTGCCATATGAGGTCATGGGGGTACCCTGTCGAAAGCCTTATCAAGGTCTAGGAAGGCCATATGTACTGTCTTGTTCATTTCCCTATTCTTCTCCAGCAGGAGGCGGGCGGCGTGTATGGCGTCAGTTGTTCCGCATCCCTTTACGAAACCACATTGGTTGGGGGTGACGTTGACAATTTCCCGAAGATGTGCATCGATGACTTTTTCGAAAATTTTCATCGTGTGACATAGTAGGCAAATAGGACGATAATTTGAGCATTCGGCTACATCCCCTTTGTTCTTCCATATGGGTATGGTAATGCTGGTCGTCCAGGCCTTCGGGACTTCCCCTGTGCTGACAATGTTGTTAAACAGTTCTGTCAGGATGGTCGTTCCTGGTTGCCCGAGAAACTTCCAGACTTTGGTTGTTTCCAGTCATGGTTCTGATATTGATTATTCCAAAACAAAGATGGAGTCGTCTCTTTAGCCCAATCCGTCCATGAGTGGGTAGCCCTTGCTGATTTCCCATGTCGTTCCATCGAGAACGGCAGGCGTCGCCTGCGGGGGACGCCCTAGCATTTCCCAAATTTTGACGTTCCATTGCTATTTGATGCGACAATTTGAAGATTCGATCGACTTGTCGCACCGCCTGACATCGAAGACCATCACCGTTTGTTGGTTATCCAGGAGGCACCGCGAGGAGGTGGTGATTGGATTTTGCCTCCCTCTCCAGGGAGGCCCTCTCCAGACTAAAAGATTTAAATTAATTTGTTTTGTCTCATTTTGAGTTTTTTTTAATCATAGCATGATGTGTTGCTTTTTGAGATCTTCGCTTCACTTCTTCACTTTGTCAAACAGGTTGTTTTGATTGATTTCTTGACTCAAGAAGTCTGGCAGTAGTCAGGCCTGTTTGTGGCTAGTGAAATTGACCTTAACCACAAAGAATTTTCCAAAAAATCTTTAGCCAATATTAAAATTTAATGATCTGAAACATTTTAATGCAGAATAATGGCTAAAAGTACATCAGGAAGGGGGAAAATATTCATTCATAGACAAAATGAGATGACAAATGAAACGAACACTGTTAATCCACAACCCCATTTTTATTAGAGTTACATGTGGCAAAATTCACATTTCAGGGTTTATGTCCACTTATTGTGGCCTGTCAGTTCTGAAAACCCCCCAAAACAAAACTGTGTTCAGCAAGCATAGTGAACATTTATCAATGTAGCAATCACAATTTATTCAAAGAAACAATACAAACAATTTCAAGTGTTATATAGTATTAACTTTTCCTCTATATCAGTTCTTCTAATGTATTCCTGCCCATACTCATATACTCATAGTGTACATGACTATATTGTGGACAATGATGTAGATATCAAAACGCTGTACAAAAAACAGGATGTACAGGAAAGACACTCCATACAGCATCCAGATAAAAATTAAAAATACAAAAGAGGCACTTAAGAATATCACACAGACATACACATACTCACATATGTACATGTGGAGTATACTAGAAATCAGAATACTTGAGCCCATGTTATCATATAATTCACCTGAAAAGTTATTTTTTACAATTATATCAGATACACTTGGCTGGAAAGCAATGTCAAAACCTTGTTAGCTAACATACGCATGGCCGCCTCCTACAGGAAGAACAGCCAACTAAAGAAGTTTTAAACTTCAATCTTTCTTATACTTAACATGGCTTTTAATCTATTGCTACTAGAAGCATACAAATAACTATTAAGATAACACCTATAATTAAAAAACTTAGCTTTTAGTTTAAGTTGACTGGATAGATCAATGCACACTTCCTGATATCTAATATTTGCCTTTTATTGAAAACTAAACATGACCAAGGAAATGCTGGGGGCGATGAGTTGACATTAACCTGAAATAAATTATTCCAGATTTGTTTTTTGTTGTTTTGAGTGGCAAGCAAATTCATCTTAAAAGATTCTGGCAGAAATATCAGCAGCACTGCAAACTTAGCCCTAGAAACATTTGAACTCTCAAAAACATGGGCTAAGCTATGGTTGAAACCTAACAAGGGTGTTTAACTTCTCATTTCAGCAAGTCACATTATTGCAAGGTTAGACAGTATCGTCACTATATCATGACTATGATGCACAGCCTTTTAAAACCTACAGCGCTTTTAACAGGAAGACACAGATTGTCCAAAAAGTGCAACACACACATAGACAGTATCAAAGTCTGACATAGCTTTGAATTAAAATGAAGCCAATCCGGATCTGCCTGAACCCTGCTTTTTACCTAAAGTCCACCAGATGGACTTTAGGATGCAAAAAGGCTTCCAGTGCTATAGAAGCCCGTGGAATTCAATTTTTATTTGGTCTTGACCTTTCTAAACCCCTGTCTGATGAGTTTATGGGCTTAGTTACTGAATAATAAAAAGATTAAGTCTATTGTTGTAAATCTTGGTCATACAATTTTTCCAAATGGAAGATTATTTGTGGTACAAAATGCTCATTAGCTAACAACTTGTCAATCACAAGACCCACCCCTCCTTCTCATATCCATACATTTTGGGTAACACTATGGTAGCTACATCCATCTTTTATACTGTCTATGAGAACACACTGCACACCACCAGTCTGATCACATTAACTTCAATCCATAACTTCCAGTTAAGAATGGAAGAAGGCTTTTAGGTGGCATAACACACTGTGGAGGTGTGGCAGCCAAGCTAGCTCACAGCTGTTTTTCACGTCACTAAAACTCGATATATATAGTATATTATAATATAATGTGATTACAGTAATGCCTACTTTGGAATATGATTTGTATATTTTTATTTATTCATAATTTAACCAGTTTAACCTGTTAGCAGTCGGACGTACCGCCCACGGTACATTGGATGGTTTAGGGGACTAATTGGACTGCTAAGGGGTTAATTATGCCTGTTTGCTAGTACTGATACAAACACCATCTTTAGCTTGTAACTGGTGGAAATTTCCGGTAACATTGGTACTAGCATTTCTACTCTTTGCTGAAGGATTAATAAAATTTTCTGAATTCTTGCCTACAAGACCAGAAAAAAATGAACTGCGACAAACCTATCTGACACACTTTGTATTTTCCCTTCATCTTTTAGACTGAAATACAAAGTGCATTATTTTAATCAGTGTAGTCACTGCCATTGGATAATTGGCTTTAAGCAGCCCTGGGTTGTTTTATAGCAAAATATTTATTGCACAGTTTTAGATTTCACAATTTTCTGCAGAGTTCACAGGTAATAATGTCACCTAAAGCCTTTCTTTTCTTAAGTATTTCTTAAAGATATCAGCTTACCAACACGTTTTATTTTTTGCTATATAGTTCTGTACAATTTTCAGCGGAATTGGCTACCTTTAACATGTAGAGAGTAAAATCGCAGCGCGGATACATAACTGAGCTGTGCCTAAGATTAACAACAAAGTGAAAATTTCAAGTCAGTCAAGTTAAAAAAATCTATAAGTATTGCTGACAAATTAGTCTTCTTTCATATGCTTTTTACATGACATGGAAATAAGACAAATTCTTCCTGATCTCCCTTTTCACATTTGCTGTACAGACCCTGTACAAAAGGAGCTCAATCCAGGGTGTTGTTTGGTGGAGCTCCAGCTCCAGCATTTCAATAATCTCACCATCCCAACACCAGCAAACATTCAGCATTCCAGGCCAAAACTTTAAATAAGGCTTCTGTCAAACTTTCTCTACTAGTTTAGATAATTTTAGGATTCGGCTATCTTAGCTCAGGATACAAACCCCACCAAAAGCACAAACAAACAAAAAATAACCCATCTTTAGATTATAATCCCAAATTCAGTCAAGATAATTCACTTGCAATAAATAAAGTACTGTTTGAGTTTATAGTCAGCCCTTAACCTAAACAGATTCTAATGATGTGTTCATTAACAGCTCAAACATCTGTACCTGCATTTTACTGCCCTGGTTTGCATGTCCTTCAACAAAGCAAGTTTATTTCTTTACAATTTAAGTGGTTCATTTTTCTGCTTTCAAAACTTTTCCCTACAAAGGAATCATCTCATTGAACTCATTCCTCTCTGCTCGAGCTCCCACCATCATCAGCGCTCCTCCCATGTTGGGACCAAGTCCCGTGCAGCCCTTGAGTCCTCCTTCAGCCAGCTCATGGCACATCGTGACATTGTGGGAAGACACAATATTTCCACTACCTGCAGGTGTGAATATGGTGCTCTCCATCCCCCTCCTCTGTTGCTCTGGTGTTGGAGCAGGCGCCCTAATCCCACTACTTCCAGCACCCACGCTACCTCCAGCACCAGCACCACCTCCCCGCTTTTTAGGTGGTGGTCCCCAGAGGAACGCGTGGGCAGGTCTGTAGTGTTGGCGGGCATAGCGGAGCAAGCGTCGGCGGGTGGCTGGCAGGCGGATGGTGTAGACAAAGTATTCCAGGATGCTGTGCTGCATGTTGGACAGGGTGCCGTGGCACAGCGACTCCTCCAGGAAGAAGCGAACCAGCGGGGCCTTAAAGGCCTCATAGCCGAGCTCACCCAGGGACTTCAGGATGCGAGTGATCCGCAGGTAGTTGTGGTGGGACCTTCAATAAACAAGGCGGTTGAGAAAGGGAATTTTGATTGATTAGAATAGTTTGAAATAGCTTTTCTGAAATAGCCATCTAGGACCTCCTCTGGGGACTTATTTGGACACTTATTTTGAAACATAATCAAATTAACTTTAATTTCAACGGTCACTGGACTGCAAGACTGCACGTACCAATCATTTCTGTTTTTTAGAAACTTTATTTCCTCCTGGAAGTTATTCTTGTATCACCATCTTCAGACCCCATTCCTTCAGTGTCTCTTTTATAATGTTTCTGGTGTAACAGCTTTTTTCCTGCACGATTTGCACATCCATACTAGCATCAGATAACCCTGTGTTGGTATAATGTCCTCCCGATAACCATCACCTCTCTGTGGACACGGGCGGTTAAAAGTACCCATTTATTGCTCTACCTATACCACTTATCACATGTATAGGTTAAAAGATGGACAGATCACAAGCCTGTTCCACAGCTGACACACACGTCCCTACACAATCGCACATCGATGGGCAGTTTTATGGAACAACCCAACCACTGTTCATTCTGTGGTCTAGATTGAAGTAAAGGTGATGGCCTTCAATACAACCATGATGTACAGTCTGATGTCTCTGGCAATATAATTATTATTTACTGTTTGGTGTGGCTACTTGGCCCATGAGAAATCTAGAAACCAGATTCAGACATCTTTGTGCATTTTAATGGCAAGAGAATGGAAAGAAAATACACTGTTGTCAGCTTTGTTTTCCATGTGTTTAGAGCTTAACGCAACAATTAGATTCAAATGGTTTAAGGAAGGTTTGTGACTGGAGGAGATTGTGGTAATAAAAGGGAAAGTAATGCTTTCCCTTCTAAAAGGTTCTAGGTACAAGGACAAGCACACGCTTTAATGTAAACTGCAAAGTGCGGCATTCAGGTGGTCCTTTGGCAGGAGGAAACACCGTACCTTATCTCAAGCAATGAAAACATCGAAACGGGATGTGAAACAAAAAAACAACAACAATTGTTCTTTTAAATTGCCCTTTAACCATCTGTTTGTCCATTCAAAACATGCTCTTTCACATTCAGCTGCTGTTAGAGGAGCAATTAAGTTGCAAAGGATTTAGAATGATTGCCTTGCTAAAGGACTGAAAAGCAGCTACTGGCAACTATGTGATAACTTCACACAAATTGTAGCTGCAATTTTATCCCCCCCAAGCTACTGCACAGTGCATTTAAATATATAACGTTCGCAAGTGTGTGTGTGTGTGTGTACTTACTCATTAAGGTGTTGGAAGCGCTCCTGCCAGTTCGGAGCCCGAGCAACATTGCCACTCTTATCCAGCAGCTTGACGCCGTAGAAGTCCAACATGAGGGAATAGGCCGCCAGGAATCTCCGCTTTGCTTCCCGAGTGCTTTGGAATTCCTGATGTGATTCAACACAACAAATCAGAAACAAACAGACAGGTTGTGTACAAAAGCAGCTTTTCTCTTTAGGTGATCAGAAGAAGCAGAAGAGAAAGCTGTATGCAAACACTGGGTAATCGCCCGAAAACGAGTCTGAAATTTCATGAGGGACACATTTCTACCTACTTTTAATGGGAGCATGCACATGCAAACCAGCTGTGTTGTTCAAACAGATGTCTAATTTAGTCAGAGCCAAAGCTGAATGAGTATTTCCCAGAACGGTTGTTTGCTTTGTCACATTTGAGCGACTTATTTAAACGAGAGTGTATCGGCATTCTTAAAATTTCACTCGATTCAAAATTTGCCCTTGTGCTAAATTATTTCGGTAGTGAAATGTAAAGACTCAACCATGGGAAACACTTGTGCGATGAAAAGCCACAACTAAAGCAGTGATGCAAAACATTAGCAAAACTGTGACACTGAGCTGTGTTTTCCCCCTGCACTGAAAGCGCATTATAATGCACCTGAGCTGCCAGCGACACTCCACTAACTGTGAGCAACTCATAGTTCTTTGCAATGAAAGCATCAAAATCGGTTTACAGGTGGAAAGCTTTCAGTGTTATATGTCTGAATATAACCACATTTAAGTAAAAAAACGATCTAATATGCTAATGTAGGAAAGCAGAAGTGAAATCTAACACCAAACAACAGATATTTAGGTAGAAACTATAAAAAGAAGAGGGACCGCAGGAGCACAGCTGGAGATCAAGCACATGTCATCACAGTTTAATGAAGCACAGCATTAATAAAGCGGACCATCACAGACTAGTAGAGACAGAATATGTGTACGAAACTCACTTTGATTTCGTCCTGAGTCAGTTCATGTGCGTAGAAGTTGAGCCCTTGTTCTCTTAATGGGAACAGCCTGGGGTACAGAAATGGAGTAAAAACACTGTAAAAACATACAACACAATAACTACAGAGATGTGATGGTCAAGAAATACATCTGCCTGCCAAATAATGAAGATAATTACTCAGTGTAATTTCTCAGCAGGTGCTACTGTTTGCTCACTGTGCATGGTATGTAAAGGCTGTCCACCTCTTTCTTCTAGGCTAGTAAAGTGACTGCTAAAACCTTCCCACCGAATGTTAACCTGGCAACCCTACCAGAACTATGTGAATCGCTACATTCACTATATCAAACATGTAAAGGTCAGCAGCAAAAAAGGCAGCCTGCACATAGAGCCTGGAAGTTGCTGTGTATGTACATGAAGACCAAAAACACAAGTAAAATAGTACTGAATAGGAGTGTTTGCCTGCTTAACAATGAAGCTAGCATGGATGTGCCAAATAACTGCAGTTCCTTCAATGGCCACATGAGGCTGGCCCCAAAAGCAAGTCGTTCCCCTTTAACACTTGTTGTGCATTGTAACACTTCCATGTTACATATCAAATATGGAAGTCATATCAAGCTAACTACAGCTGTCAAGCTTGATGTGACAATCACCGTTTAAGCCAACGGTCCCCAATCTTTTTTGCGCCACGGACCGGTTTAATATCAAACAACATTTTCACAGTGGTAGTCGCGTTGTGTCGCGGATAAAGGTGTCGCGGACAAATACAACAAAATAAAATGATACGACCAAGACAAAAACTGTGGTATTTTGTAAATATAATAATAAACGCGAATTCACTGTTTAATTGTGTAACTTTATTAGCAGTGTCCTCCTGCTAATAAAATGACTCAACAACATTGAGAGTCACGTGTCTTCTCTGCCCTTTAATGCGCTCTGGTCTCTATGGTAACTCGTAAACATTTCTTTCAAAATAAGACACACAACTACAACACAGGAAAAGACCCAGAGAAACGATAAAAGTTAACAATAAAAACTCCGAAAACCATAAATTTCACACCCGAGCCTCAACTCTCGCGGCTTGGTACCAAACGACTCACGGACTGGTACACTGGTCCATGTCCCAGGGGTTTAAGCCACTAAAATCAGTTCTGAAACCTGACTGGACAGGTTAAACTAAGTGAGCGGTCATTAAAATATTCCTGTTTTTTATTGAACTTTAATCTGTAACAGGATAGAAAAAGGAAGCTTTGACATGTCATGTTACCGTGCCTTCTTGCAGGCTAAGAACAACTTGATGCACAAACACACAAGCTGCATGAATATTAAAACAAATGGAGGAAATGTCTCACCACTGAATATAGGTGTGATTGTGCTCCAGTTTGTCATAGTCGCCTCTCCACTTAGAGAGAATCTCCTCTATGTAGATACCTGAGAAGAAAGAGGAGCTAAATAGCTGCAAAATAGATCTGTATTGCATGTGTGTGCGCTTGTGTGTGTGTGTGTGTGTGTGTGTGTGTACGTGTGTTTAAACAGTGGATCAGTCCACTAATCTGCTGGGCTTTCCCTGTCAAACTTGACCTTTAGCCAAACAAAACTCACTAAGGCCAGCACTAACATCACTTCTCTCCAGTGTTAACAGATCTGCATGGAGAGTGCACTTTTTTCCCTGTGTGTGTGTGTGTGTGTGTGTGTGTGTGTGTGTGTGTGTGTGTGTGTGTGT